CATACTACTATGATGTCATAGTATGATACAACTACACTTCTAGAAGACAATGTTTGTGGTATTTGTATGACCTAAAGTTTTGCACACACACTCTCTTCATCTCAAAAATCAATCTCAAAAAACAAAAAAATAATTTACACCCGATATAAATCAAAATGAGTCCCCTCCAACAATGAATCTAGACCGTCTATATTTGATCAATTTCAAGATCTAGGCCTTTATAATTCAAAATCTTTTTTTTTTTTTAATATTGTTAATCTAATGATAATAAAATTGTCTAACAAATTTATAAATAAAAAAAATCATTCTAAGGCCTAGATATAAGCATCTCACCAAAATGGATGGCCTATATTAATTGGGCTAAAAAAAAAACTTTTTAGGTTGCGTTTTCAAAATTTTCTTCTTTGTGATTGTTCATTAGAATGAAAATAGTGTATATTTTAAAATTTGGATCAAACAAATAGCCCTAACATGGTTTTTGAAGGTTGTTGCATTATATAATTATACAACCGTTGCATAAAATCATTGCCTTTTATATAGCAGGTCTATGGCGGCTTTGATGCCACTCAGGTGGCTTCTGGTCACATAAAGTGGGAAAAGGGGGACCCAAAGGCATCATAGACCTGCTTTGTCCGTGATGGTCACAACGGACATAGAAAATCTATGACGCCTTTGAGCCCCCCTTTTCCCACTTTATGTAGGCCAAAAGGCACCAGAGTGGCTTCAAAGCCGATTATAAGCTCTAGCCTTCTGACCAAGAGAATCAATCTTTAAGATGGATGATTTATACTTTCTAGACCTCATATGTAGTCATGCTGTCTAGCCCGCATAAAACAATTTTCTTTCTAATATATCTTAAGGGATTATATACAATGCGACCGTTTACCTTTGATACAAGGTAGTCAAAATTACTTACAACCATTCGATGTGAAGTTTGATAGTTTGGATGTATCACAAAATTTGAGAAAATTTCTTCTGAAGTTTGAGCTTGGTCAATAAAATAATTGCATCCACTCCACTGGTCATGATTAATGTCCCACCTTTTATCAAAGGTAAATGGTCTCATTCTATAATTTTCAATATCTTAATTGTTTCCCTAAGGCATCATCTGTTACACGACATAATACATTAGAACTAAGGCACCTCTCAAGTCATCAACATTCTTGTGTGCATAATGAAACAAGAGTTACTAAATAAATGATCTATAATACAAATTTTACGAATGTATCAAACGCTCAACATACAAAATAAAATAAAGTGAGAATTATGGGGATATAAATGCATTTCACTATCCAAGTAAACCCACTTTGCACATGTAAAGGACATACATGAAAAATAAAGAAATGTCACACAGATGTTACAAAAAAGTCACCAAATGGGTTCTTTAGATGCCCGATAAAGCGGTCATTTACGTGGCCCATAAAGAGGTCCTTTACATGCCCAAAAAATTACAGAAATATTTAATATTCGCATAACCCCCAAAGTCAACTACAAAAAGGGGTATTTACATGTCTCCAAAATTTTAAAAAATTAATCAATCCAAAAATCCTTTAAACATATGTGCAAATGAACCCCTGCAATTTGCCATATCCTCCATGCGAATGCAATCCCGGAATTTGTCATATCCTCTATGCAACTGCATCCACTTCGTTTGTCGTGGCCTCAACTCGGTTCGAGGTCCTCAGTAGCTCTACAAGAGATAAATGTATTGTAAGTCCAATATGTAAATCAGAAGATAAATGAAAACTAAAGCTAAATACAAACAATTATGTTTATTATGTTCAATACATAAAATAATCAAGCAATTACATCCCAAGGGCCTTCATCGGACAATTACGCTTGTCATGTCCACTCTTATTGCAAACTTTACACGTCCTTTCAATGAATGGTCTTTCCTCCAACTATTTTTTTTTTTTGCGTAGAAGCTTTTGGCCCTTCCTTGCATGAAGGTTTTCTCCTTTTAGTCATTGGTCGTCCAACTGCTCATGCACAGGATGGATCGAGTATGAGGGAGGATGCATCAATTGAGCTAATGTTACCACATACTTCACATTCAGTGGCACTGCAATGTGTGTAGGCTGATGGTGCATGAGTATTTAGTAACGACTCTCTTGTTGCATTGACCTCCTCAGCTAACTTGGAAAAACCCAACTTCATTTTTTCAAATAGATCACCATTTTCTAACACTGGTTTTTCTAACACGTGGGAATTTAGATACAGTCGAACCACTAGCACCACATTTGTCTTTGACACCGTTCTTCGCCTCCATTGGCCACTGGCTCAAAATGTAGTTAGATGGGATCTTCAATACAATTCTCATGTTGAACACTTTAAGTATATGTGAACAAGGGATTCCAATATGCTCAAAGAATCGAGATGTGCATATACACTTCTTCCTTGATTCAATGAACATAACCGTCCGAGGGATTGGAACACCGCAAATGTCTTCCATCTTATATTTGTCATATTCATCATTGCCTTCTTTTAGTTTGCTAAGGCAATTTGAGGACCTTACCACCTCTTCTTGGAACTTTCCAAATACTTTTTGAGTGTATGTCTTTACTGCGTGCTCCTCGATAAGGAAGGCTACCTTTAGAACACGTGTGGATTTTTACTATCTTTCTCTTTTTCTTTGATGAACTTCTTGTTTTGCAACTTTTCAATAACATTCATGAATTTTTGCAAACCTGTACCAGAAGTGACATACATCTTTAAATTGTTAGTGTATACATATGTATCGTGTATATCAATACACATCATTATGGATATGTATGGGTATAGGTCTCTAGTTAGTAATTATCAGTAACGGTTGGTATCTATCCATAACTGTTATTAAGCCATATATTTATATGGGTCTTGTACATTCTTAATCTATTCATTGAATATAGAGAAATATCCTCTCTCACATAGTATCAGAGCCTAGCTTTGCGATCTTGTTTGAGCCTCCCCGCTTCTCTGATCTGTATACAAATGCAAGTATTACTTCCTCTCTCTCTAGAAGCTAAGTCTCTCTGCTCTATACTTCTTTATATATATCTGGCTGATCTACCGTAACTTTTCCCTCTCTCTGTCTAGTATTCTCTAATATCTCTGACTCAGCAGTCATTTCTCTGCATACTTTCTCTCTCTCTTTCTCTCTCAAGCAACTTCAAAATCTTCCTCCCTAAAACAACTTCACAGAAAATACCTCACTTCCACGCTCCCTTTAAGGCAGAGCGCACTCCATCAAGATTTCACAAAACACACCCACAAGAACCCCTGAACCACCTCTTTTCCAAACCCTACGTATCAAGAAAACCCAATATTTTGGATTCCCTAAAAATTTGTTCCAAGAAACTTCACAGGAGTTTCTTGTACATGAGTCTCTCTCTTTCTATAGAGTCGAATTAGGTTTTCCTTCAAACCCATCTTATTAATCCTTAAAAGCATCTATCCAAAAATAAATAAAAATCTCACAAAATTTTGTCATCTCTTTGCTTCCCCTCCCTTACTTTGAATCTTTGTATTGATTTGATTGTTTGATCAAATCTGTTTCTTTCACTGTAAGATCCATCTTATCGTCTCTCAACCTTTTGATTGGAT